AAGTATGTTAAATCAACTCACCTAAATCTTAAACAATAGTATTTTAAAATAATTCAAAATTTTTAATTAATAAAAATTTAAACATTTATTCTTTTATACAATATTATGAGTATTTTAAAATAAATATGTCTGAAATTGTAATCTATAAAAACTTACCTATTTGAAGAATTTTTTTTTACCACTCTATTTAAATATTATAAGCCATACATTCAATTCCTATTTTAAATAAATATAAAAATCTTAAATCTACATATTTACTCATACTTTTTTATATTTATTTTTGAATTTCGTACATTTATTTTGTACATTTATCAATAAAACGAAAATTGCTATCTTCCTTGAAATTTGACATAAGAAGATTATTGGATTTTAATTGATTGCATATAAAAACATTAGAAATCCTTGCTTTGATTTAGTGATCTTTGAATAATACATTCAATTGTAAAGTTTTTTTTGAATTCAAGAATTTAAAGCTAACCGTTCTTGGTTATAAAAATATATTTTTAAGAATTTTTATTTTGAAATTTATTTTTTGAAATTGATACCTTTAGTGATTTAAAAGGTCTAAACATAAAAAATTTAACTACTTTTAATATTCCACTTTAAATTGGTGTCCAATTATTTTAATCCTTGAACATAGAGTCTATCACACATCGTGGACTTACTCTTCCTTTGTTAGCATTGGATACACAAACATATTACTGCTCTAAAATATATATTTTATTGCTTAAAGCCCAGAATGATTCAATTATAAATTAACCAAAAAGTTCACAATTTTTCTATATCTTTCATTTGATTTGTGTTTTTAGTTCCTTCTAATTTTCTCAGATTGTTTTATTTTATTATTTTATTATTATCTTAGTTTTAATTTATAGATTTGTATGAGGATTAACAACATTTTCTTGCTCTTCTGAAGATATATATATATATATATATATAATGTATTCTCAATATTTGTAAATATTTCTTTTAAGACCTTAATATCAATGATTACCATGTAAAAAACTTAGATTGATTATTATTATAGCATATTAGTAAATTTTCTGGATGGTTTTTTTATTGAAAAGATCAATATTTCATACCTACTTAAACCTATTTCAAAAACCGAGGTCCAAATTAAACTCTAATTTACACTTGGATGAATGCCGAGTGTAACCACGTTCACCATCCATCTAAGACACATTCTGTTCATCGTTCATTTTACTACGTTGATGATCGGATTCATCCGAAATTTATCGGTCATTGCATCTGATAGGTCGAAGGTTCGAATCCAGCTTCGTGTTGCCGATGCTTCGCTGTGTTTCGATTCGCTTCCGACGGCATTGCAATGGAGAGGTTCGAATCCAGCTGCCATTTGCGGATATTTCTCTGTGTTACTATCCTACTTCGACCGGCTGCATGCTCCACAGGCACACACTACTTTTGCTGCTAAGCTTGGTCTGCCATTCGCAATTCAAGCTTCGCGAGGATGATCATAGATTTCCTCTTCACAGTCTCGTCTTGTGGATATACGTCGTTAAGCAACCACAGTAGCCGCCGCACGAGTACATTTCCAGTTTTGTATCGGGCACCATCATGCTTTGTAAATTTCCATTTGTGCGTTGGTGTTACAGAACTCGCATCGCCTGTCGTTGAACGAAATCACCGTCGTCGTACTCGCGGGGATTCCTACTTTCTCGTGAGCAGGCATGAACTTTTTCTGCTGCGGAGGTCGAAGGTGCAGCGTACATGCTGTTGTCTCCACAGAAGGGACACGGACCGCCGAGCTAGAGAACGTGCATTGCCTTGCAGCCAGGAGGTTGCTCCCTGGTTGAGAAGTATTCACACTTCGTAGTGTTTAGTCACCTCGTTGAGAGAGCATAGGGTTGTCTCCGAGCGCACACAGTTTGAGATCAAGGCCAGCTTCCTTGTGCTCCACGCCTTGAATATTCCCTCGAGCATTTGAAACGACACATTTTTGCTTGCACGCTAAGGAATAGGCCTCGACAATGCACCGGTCAATTCCTCGTGAAGCGTTCTCTCCTCTGCACCTTCTCCTGCCAAATCAACCATGTCGTCGATGCGGTTGTTGTATCATACTGACTCCGCTTTTGCCTTGCTCCGTGGGCCTCTTCGTGATCGTCAAAGTGAAAGCAGAGTCTCCATTCGAGGCTACTCTTGCTGACGGACTTCGAGTGCCACTGGGTGCTCCACAATGCCGCACTTGCGCCAATGCTTTGCAGTCTCGGCGGTTCGTGCAGCGTGAACAAGTCATCGTTTGCGCTCCTTTGGCTCGGCTCTCATTCTATGATCGTGGTTGTTGGTCCAAACTCAACAAGAGGTTGACGTAGGGTTCAATGAGAAGTAAGTTACCTGTTAAGATTATAAGAATAGTTCCATAAAAGAGAGTAGGACTATCTTAACATCCTCCTTTTGTGTTAATTTCAATCATGTTGGTCTTGGAGTGAGCAGAGTTTGTATCTACAAACAATTGTATCTTCTTCTTTTTCAAAGGCAAAAAAAAAAAAAAAAGAAGGAAAAAAAAAAAGGAAAAAAAAAAAAACCATTCATACACACACAAATATACACAAATATTTATTTATGTTAGAAGTCATTTTCGAACCAAATCAAGTGTGTAGATGTTTACTTCAGCAAAAACCTTCATTCATGATGCTATTATAATAACACTAAGAATTTGCAATATGAAACAAGGCACAGCTCTATTCCACCTCTACTAATTATTGGTGAGAAATTTCAAGATTGTTGGGAAGTTGTGAAACATTAGGATAAGAGACAAACAAAGATATCTGTAATCAAGTTTCTATTTTTTTCTTTTCTTTTTTCTTTTCATACTTGTATCATTTAGTACATATATCTATAATGGTACTAAATGATACAAGTATTTCTTGTGATATCTTTATTAGAATAAGGTGCAATTTTTTAAAAATAAATTGTGCCGTTGAAAATTTAAAATATATTTTTAATTTCATCAAAAACCCATCCATCTTGGGAGTGCGTGGCAAGTCGTTTGGAGGGCATGGTCGGTGGGCGGGAGTAATACCGTGACGCGAAGACGCAGGAAATTGGTGGTGACGGATCAGAGAGTTATCCGCATCCGTTGTAGTCTAGATGGTTAGGATACTCGGCTCTCACCCGAGCGACCCGGGTTCGAGTCCCGGCAACGGAATCGCCCGAGTAGAACAATAGACTACAATAGAACTCTAAACCTTTTCCTCTTGTGAGGTCTGCCCTTATCATCATTGCAGTCCTCCCCGGCGAGAACCGAGGCACGGGAATGACACCCGCAGATCCGCAGATGGAAAAAGTGCCCTTCGAACCCCCCCATTTCTCTGGACCATCACAACCTCACTCCACTTTGGCTCTCGTCAGTGCCCAATTCATGAAACACAACAGGGCTCCAAGCCTCCAAAGAGATGCCCATTCTAAACTCGTCCACAAACCCAGCACCCCCAAACCACCCATACACAATCATTAAGACCAAAATCCCTTCACTGCACGGATAGATTTAAAAACGGGTTCCATGATGTCTTCTGTATTCAGCTAATGGCTTGTCGTTAAAAAGTTTATGCTGCACACTCTGTCCATGGCAAGATAGATTCTACGACTACTACAGGAAAAGGCCCAATCGAACTGACTTCCGTTGCCTAGGGTTCTCGAATGACGGGAGACGCGTGGTGAGGATGCGGTTGGGGAACTCGAGCGACATCACTGCAGGCACCCACTCCCCTAGACACGTACCTTTAACTGCAACCTCTCGCTGACTTGGAGTAAATCGCTGTCAACCCCACGCATGTTGCAGACTGAGAAAGGGTAGCACATCCAACGGCTTCATGCACGAGCGCTTCTTGCGTTCTAATATTGCCACGAGTGTTTCAAAATTGCTGAAATTGCAAATGCGCAGTGGATCACATGTTAACATACAGCATGAGTCGCTGGGCACGTTGTTCTGTGTGTACACCAGCGACATCAAAAAATTCGAATCATGGCTTTGGAAATCATTGGCAAACAATGTCAAACATCGGCCGTAGACCACAAAAGTAAGGGTCGGCACGACGATGGCTCACAACTCTTGTGCACTCCCATCCCGATGCAGATCTCTCAAATTGAATGGGCTACCAATCTTACACCTCAGCAACTCCACATGATTTACACATCATCCAGCATCTGATTCAGTCCCGACTCCGTCGTCTAACCATTTACATCCTCCAATCCTCCACTAACTGCCGGACCTCCACGCCCGTTCATACTCAGCATCACAGACCCAGATTCACCTTGGTGCCACCTCCGTATCCTTGAAAAACTCCACGATCGATACCCCCTATCCTCGAGGCGCGTAACATTGTGCTCGTGCTTACCGTATGCCTCCTCCAAAAATCATAACCTCTACCCACTTTTCAGCCCTGCTCATGCTGACCAGTCCCCAACAAGTAACAAATATTGCGCTCCTCAAAGTCGGTCATTCCACTTTACCTTTCCGTACTTGCCACATCCAGTGAACACGGTTTCTGCATGTGCATGAGCTTCACGTACACAACCACTGGACCGCCTCAAGATCGTCCACAAAGCCGGAGGTAGAGGAAGAAGACACCTTGGCCGGGCAGTCAAGACATGGTCAGATCAGCTCAAACTATAAATAGTTCTCTGATATGTTCAGGGATATCCACCCGACCACCGCTGACAACAATGACCATTTTAATGCATCTGCATGGAACAACAAAGTCTCACTACGATGTCCTATATCCCACAACATTCCAAGTCCAGGGCCACCACACTGCACAAGAACCACCACACGAACGTGCTTCTATTCACTATGTGCCCCTCCCTTCTCTCCTCTCTTGTCAAAAGGATCCTCACACTTCAACCCCATTCGATTCGCATTCACAAGGGTCTCTCACACCAAGCTACCGCACGCCGTCTAACATTCTCACATACATCTGAAAGACCACATCGTCCATTTACAATGGCAAGGCTTCAGAACATAAAACGCCCTGTACTTGTAGTACATTTACATAAAATAATGTTGACATTTTAAATCATAGTCATAGAGTTTAAATTACACGCTCATGCAACACCAAAGCTTCTGCAATCAATCCCGTCCTTCTGCTACCATAACATCCTTTGCAATAGTTTATAGGTCCAGCGGCACACTGCTCGTAAATCAAATTTGCAGTGCCAACAGTTTCTGGGGATGACAGTGTAATCTACACATATCGTCATCGCCACAGATGACCGCAACGACAAACCCGTGCTTCTCCAACAACGCACACTACAAAAGCTCAGCTGTAAGTTCCTTACTCCCTTATCAACTGCCAATATATTCTCGGGCTTTACCTCGAATCCCTGCAATGGCGCACGTAATGTCCTCAAATCGAGCCACATCTCAGTGCAACAAATAACTAAGCAGCCGAAATCAAAACTCCTGCCTCAAATCCCCACCAATCGGCACAAGTACCACCCAGACCAACCACCGCATTGCCAGACTGATAACAAAGCACCCTACCGTAACAGCGGGACGCGCAACCCGGCAGAAAAAATAAAAAATAAAAAATAAATCCGCACGTACGCCAACCACATCCTCAACAAAGTTAGCAACCACCACGGAAAGGTCACCACGAAACCCTATCTCAGACTTCCATGTCTCTCTGGTCCAGACCTCACGGCCAGACAGTGCACTTACTTTGCGGAGGAGCCCCCTCCTCGCAGCTCCTGGTAAGAGGACTGGGACGGCGAAGCAGAGATGGCGTCGGCGTGGCCGGTCTCCTTGACGAGCTCACCGATGCTCCGCTCCAACTCGTCGATGCGCGATCCCATCTCGTCGATCTTGGTAATGATGGACTCGGACATGGTCTGGAAGCGAGTCTGCATTTGGAGCAACAAGTTCTGCACGAAGGCTGTGAGGTCAGCGGTCTTCTGCGAATTGGCATCAGCACCGTCGTGCTGCCCCTGCCCTCCTCCTCCCTGGCCATGCCCGCTGGATTCCATGTCGATTCCCTCCCTCGCTCGCTGCCTATCTTTCCTTTCCTTCCCTTCAGCTTCCCTTCAGCTTCTGCTTCTACTTCAGCTGCCCAAATTGGATGGCGACACTGAACCCTAGGGGGGGCTCCAAGTGCGGGAGTTGGACGACGCAGTGGCAGCAATCGATCGGAGGGAAGGAGGCAACAAAGGAGGGAATCGGAGACGCGAAGCTGGTGCTGGTTTCCGTGCTGTCAGACGAGCGGGGTCAGATAAGTCTGGTGGTCTCGTTGCGTGTGATGTGAATGGGCTCGAATAGATGAAAATTGTCGATCTTTCCGTTCATCCAATCCTTGCTGAGTTGGCGTGTGATTGTAATGCTCGCCTTTGGACCCTTTTTTTTTTTTTTTTTTTTTTTCTTCCTGTGGTGCTTTTAAAGGCCCACTCCATGTGACGAACGTGTCCCTTCAATTCTCCATTAGTACAAATGTTTATTATTTATTTATTATTTCTTATTTGGATCTTTTTTAATTGCACTGGTTGACACCTTGGAAGTATTTAAGGCACATAGTACGTCAATTTGGTTTTGTAAACCATAGCAGATCATTTTAAAAAAAAAACTTGCAAAAATCATCATCCACAAATATTATCATTTGGAACCAACACCTAGCAGTAGTATTGCTGGCATACCAAATCACCTATAATTTCTTTACAAATCACACACCAAATTGCTTCCTGTAAGGCATGATCCCATTTTTGTTTATCAATTTTTTCATCCTCAAAGTCTCACATATATTGTTCTATATAATACTTTTTTTTCTCTATTTATATTGTGAATTTGGATATGATTTAACAAAACTTGAGTATTAAGAATTTTAAGCAATAAAATTATACCCTCTTGAAAAAAATAAAAATTAAAGAATATGTCATTTTCAACTCATTAATGGTGTAATCAAATTTTCAATTTTGTAATGTTAGAGTCGTTTTCTACAAGAAATGTAAATTGTACCAAGTAAAAAATTACATTTTTAATAATATATTTTTATTATTAGCTATTAATTTTTTTTTATCTTTGTTTAAACATATCAAATTTGAATAAATCTAAAATATATCAATATATGGATAATTTGCCATGAGCCAAAATATAGAGAAGATTTTGTTTTTTCTAAAAAAAAAGTTAGATTTCAATTCTTTGTTGTTGTATTATAATGCTTTAGGAGAATTATTTTTTAAAATCGAATATTATTTATTTTATATTACAAAAAATTTAAAAATACTTACATATACATGTGTAAGAATAGTTATTAATTAATGTTATATTTCATAAATCCAAAGTTGATGGTGCTTTCATTATGCTACCAATACAAATTTGGATTAAAGTACTAAAATCTAGTATAAGATATTTTGGATGTTTTGTTTTGTTTTTTTTTCAACATCACTTTTATTATGTGATGTTATTCACTATATTATAAGAAACCAAAATAAAATATATTCTTTTGTAACACACAATATATAAGGAAATGTTAAATAGACTCATACTTTTATTAAATTGATCCATCCATCCTAGCAATCATGAAGGAGAAAAAAAAAAAAAAAAAAAAAAAAAAACTCTAGATTTATTTCTCCACTTTTGGATTTGAAACCAATAAAAACCATTTACATTCATCATGATCACTATATTCTTCATCATGGATATGTTGATTTTCTAAGAATATGGATCTATTGAATATTTTCCTATATATGTATTGTATTAATTTGATTTATTTTTTAAAATAATATTCTAATCTATTCTTTTAGTTTTAAAAGTTTTTAATTTTGTCACTAATTCTTATAAATTTAAATCAGATAGTTAATAAAATCAAGTACTAAAAAATATTACATTACAAAAGCTGATTAGTCATACTAGGAAGATATGTATTAAAGACACAACATATCATTTGATTGTTATTTTTAAAAAAAAAATAAAATGTTCTTTATGTTAAATAAATCTAAATCGTTATATTATATAATAATCTAAATTTTTTTATCCAAAATATAAGAGAAATTTTAAACTTTTAAAATAAAAAAATGAATGATTTTTTAATAAAATTTTGTATCTTATAATAGAATAGAATTTTATAAAGAAAGATATAAATTATTTTTAAGTTGATAAATTTAATTCTAAATTATTTCATAACTTTTCATCTAAGTTAATTTTGGAGAAAATATATAATAATTATTTATAGGAGTTTTTACTAAGCTATTAAAATTTATATTTTTATATTAATATTTTATTTTAATGTTTTTTAAACTTTTTTAAAAAAATTATAAAATATAAGAAGGTTGTGTAAAAAATTAGAAATTTATATCTATGATATCATTTGTATCATATATATATATATATATATATATAGATCATGTTATTTAAAAAAATTAAGATTGATTCTTTTAAATAGATAAAATATTAATATTTTTTATTTATTTAATTAAGATAAAACATGAATTTATAAAGTTGTTGATTTCTGATTTTTCTTTTTAGCAACTTGAGTCTTTTTTAGGGTATCGTGGATATAATCAATCTCAATTAATTTCATGGCTGCCAAATAATATATTGTACAGAGTTTTCACTTTTTTATTAAAGTCTCTAAATTTTTAATCTATACTAAATTAATATAGTTTATCTTTTATTTTGACTTAATTCTATTTCATACTTTTGCTTTGCTTTGATTTTTTTTTCTACTTTAAAAAAAGACTTTCTTATCTTCTAGATGTAAATTTGCTTTCATAAATATAACATTTTAGTTCTTGTATTATAAAGACTAGTATTTTTTTTTTCTTAATATCTAAAATTATTTTCTTATAGTTACTTAATTTTCTATGCAAATTAATATTTTTAAACTTATATTTTTGACTTATTTTATTTTTTATAAATCAATATTTTTATAATATATTTTATAATTTTGTCATGAATATGCATATATATATATATATATATATATACTTAGATAAGAAGTGCTAGGTAGAAGATAAATATAAGTAGATTTAATATTATCTTGTAGCAAAGCTTCTTAGAAGCTTATAGATACATATTCGATTTTATACATGTTTATAGTTGATTTCTAGGTTAAAAACTTGGCCAATAAGTTAGCCATGTCTTGCATGTGTGGATAGCTTGTGGTACAAGCTAACAATGTGGCATATACATAGGAAACTTGAATTGTAAGTTAAGACATATGTTTCGCAAATTGGACATATGTTAGAGGTTTTATAGAACATTGCCATATAATTTCTAATTAGATAGTATATATGGAGGCAAGAATGAATCCTTCTTCACTCTTGTCAATACTTTTTTAGTTCTTAGTCTTTTTTTAAGTTTTTTGAATCTTCTTGTCTTTGGCAATAGCCATTTTAGTTTAATATTATATCATATTTGAATGATTCTTTAGTCTTTTTTAGTGACATTAGAGGGTATTGATCTTTTAGTTTTTTGATGTTCATATTTTTGAAAATTTAAAAAGAGTACTAACTTTTTATACTTATTTTATTTTAGAAGTGAGTGGATTATCTCACTTCTATTATTATATTTTGAAGATTATAGATCATCCACCTTTGAACCAACTTTTATTTTTTTAAATACTAATTATTTTTCTTAAAGATAGTAGACTATCTCTCTTTGTAGAAATTTTCATTTGATATTGGAGGTTGTAAATTATCACCCTTTAATTTGATTTTTGACTTTATTTGAGTTATTTTTGGAAGAAAAAATTATGAATACTACTCATAATAAAAGTATGAATAGATTTGCAACTATTATAGATCTTCAAGAACTTGTTAATATTCTTAGGGTCAAAATTTTATGTATTTCTAATGTGAACCATAGATGTATTATTTCTACACTCCTAGAAGAAGTCAATAATCATTAGATATTATATTAAGAAATTATATAGTTAAAAAAAGATGAGTAGATCAAGTTCACAATTGAATATGAAAAGCTTTGTTTTTACAAGTATGAAGGAAACAAGGATAAGTATGTTTGAGAAGATTGATGGAACAAGATCAAAGTTTCAAGAATTTCTACAACAAGTAAAGCTTTTTCTAAAGTTTCATCATTTCTAGTACTTTGATCAATTTATTCAAGTTAAATTCATAAGTACACTTTTATTCAAGAGTGCTCTTTTTATTGGTTTGTATCTTTGATGGAAAAGAATTCACAACTATTTTATGATTTGAATTCATTCTTAAAAGTCTTTATGGCTATATTTAAAAAAAGTGATAAAAAATAGATAGTACAAAGAAAATTCCTATTTTTATAGTAAAGATCATATTCAACCACCATATATATTGTAGAATTCCAAAATCTTGCTTCTAATGTGGATTGGAATGACAAAGCCTTTATCAATCAATTTTGATATGGATTGAAAGACAATTTCAAAGATTTATTGTTGACAATATTGAGAGTAGTCTTATTGAAGTAATTTATTGCTCAAGTCATTGCATGCAATAATTAATTCTTTGAAAAATGTCAAGAATAAAGATTTGATTACAGATGTATAAGTCAAGTCATGGCAATAATTTTTAAGTTTAAAAAAGCTCATTCATCAAGGGTGGAACCTATTGTCATGGACATATATTTATTGTAATTTTTTCTTAGATGATATAAATAAGTAGAAGTAGATAAAAATAGATTAATTTTATAATATCTTTTAAAAAAGCTTCATAAAAGCTTCATAAATATTGCTTTGTTTTTATATGTATTTATAATTAATTCATAGGTTAGAAACTTGATCAACAAATTAACCACATGCCATAATTATTGATAGCTTGTAGAAGAAGCTAATCATGTGGCATTTATATAGAAAGCTTGCCTTGCAAGTTATGATATGTGTTGTATAAAGTTAATATGATTTGAGGGTCCTATAGAACATTGCCACATAATTCCTAAGTAGATAGTATATATAAAGGCAAGAATGAAGCCTTCTTCACTCTTGTCAACTCTTTTCTTACTTTTAATCTAATTTCAAGAGTCTCTATTTTTTTTTTCTTTTAGCAATAGCCATTCTAATTTTTTTTAATGTACATAATTTCTTATTTCTATTTTTTCATACTTCTTTGAAAAAATATTACTTATTTATTTACTTTTATTAAATTTTTGTCCTTAACAGATTGACAAGAATACATTTATAATATCAAAGCTTTGTCTTTTTTTTGATTAAGAATAGATTAGACTTTTTTTCTTGATAAAAAATAAGCATATTAGAAATTGTGGTTATCGTCTTCTTAACTAATATTATTT